AGCTCACAAATAAAATTTAGAATTGTTTTTAAACCTCAGTTCAAATTTTGCCAATCTGCCCTATCAAGGAAACATTGTTTCGAATTCTTTTCCTTTTCAATATGAAGGAAAACAAGTCTAGTTAATACAAATCAAAATCAATTCTTTGAGTATCTTTTTTGTTAAAAAAAAAAAATTTAAATATAGTGCTTCTTATAACAAGGAATAAATATTTTCATGGTTGTCAGGAAAGAAATATCAGTAATAAGTAGAAAACTTATTTCATTTTGAAGTAAATGCAGTAATTCAGACTACGGAATGGGCAGACAGTCTAAGGGCTTCAGTGAAAATCTAATAGTCTTGCACCCTTAATAAATTAAGTAGTTTTCTGGCCCCAATTCCATTTTAGCTAATGCCACGGATAAGCTTTGCTATCACTATGTTCTTGTGTGAACACGTTCAGCTAATATTGTTTCATGTGTTGACTAAATTCTTTGAGCACTTATGCAACATCATTTGGTGGTAATCGAAATATGGGATCTATGCTGATTTTTATTTTCTAAAACCCTTCTAGATAAAAGCAGCAATATGGATCTCAAAAATATATTTTAAAGTATATATTACATAACAAGAAATGTGTGTAATTATAAAAATTGTTGTTAGCATACTAACAAAAACATTGATTACTAATTTATCATGAAACATAACTTATTTAGATAGCTCTTAAAAGATTTCCTCTTTTCTCCCAGGAAAAATAATTGAGAAAAATACCGTGAGAGAGCAGTTTCCGCATTTATTTTCACAGTAAGCAATCTTAATGGCTTCTTCTACATATGGGAAAGTTAGGAAGGAATAAGGCAAACCAAGATGATATACAAGACGGCCACATCTAAAAAACAAGAGAGAAAATACAGCGTCATTACAATATTTTCTGTATCATGATCCTACTTAAGTGCAGTCTGGGGTAGGTATTGTAGGTTTAGTGGTGTTATAACTAAGATCGTCTCATACTTTCAGTAAATTTCATTCAATGGGATCTACAAAGGAGCTCCCAAGCCTCTGCATACCAGGTCATGTCATAACAAGACTACAGTGAGCCTTAATACTAGCATTTTGAAATGTTATAGATGATGTCACTACATAATATAAAAAATACGTAGTATAGTCATTATGATGTGGTCAAATTCAATTTTGTAATTGACTTATAAATTCTACCAAAGCCCAAACCCCTGACTTATAAATTAGACTCTGCAAATCACATGAGCTTTTCATAACTGCTAAGGCAGCACAAATCCAACACAGCAAGAAATCATAGCATAACAAAAAGATCTCAAAGCCTTGACCAGTAGCCCATTTATTTAGATACATATCTAAGGCAACAAAAATTTCAGCACAATAAAAGAATTGGAATTATAACACTTGGCATTCTCAGAAATAGTGGGTTTGAAATGTTCTTCTTGCCCACATTTTACCCAGTATATATGGTTTTATATGAAACCATAAGGGTTATAATTTGCAACTGAGGAAATTAGAAGTTTAGGGGCCTAAAAGAATGAAATGTGATATTTAAAAAGTGTTAATGGAAGACCAAGTAGGGCTCGGGCCTAGACAGAGTCTGACTATGACTATGAAGAGCCAAAAGAAAACAAAGCACCAAAAATGTTTATAAAAGCAGATAATGCATGCATTGAGGTTCCCTCAAAATATGAATGTTTTATTTGTTCATGGAATCAAAAGCAGATTCATGCAGATCATGCTTAAATGATTAACACACTTTACAGATCAGAAATTCAGGTAGCCTTAAAATGAGTAATTAGATTAGACATAAACAAATGTGGTCTGCAAAATGTGACTATTTGGCTACAAACTACTTAGGTTAGAATTGTGCGTGACGTACAAATTGATTCTTTTAATTTAAACAGTATACCAATTTATAGGGGAAAAAATATATAACCAATTTTCTTCATTTCCCTACTGGAATGGTGAACTCTTTTGCATGCCTTACTTTTAAGAAAGCCATTTCAAAAATTGTAAAACCAAGCCCTTTAATGAGTTTATTTTGAAACTGAATATTTGGTAATAAAATAAAAGCAAATGTCTTATTTTAAATCACTTATTATTAAATGTAAAGCAGGAAGGAATCAAGTGAGGAGATTGGTGCAAAAATCTAGAGAAGAGGCAATGGTGAAGTAAACTGAGATAATGATTATGGAAACGAGATAAATACACCAAGGATTTAGAATCCATAAAATTAGGTGATTGACCCAGGATGGAAGATGTGATGGAAAGAGTCAGTAATACATGCCTGTCACACAGTTTTCTAAATGGTAGATGGCGGCAAGGCCACCACCACATAATGATTTTTGTGATATCTTGCAGCATAATAGAGGATGAGGTGGGGAGCACTAAGGATTATATGCCCTATTGCTTGTCTGCATCTGCCCCTGAGGGGGTTGTTTTATATAACTCACACAAAGGTTAAAGTATAAGCAAGTTTTAGGAGAAGATGATCAGTCCAGATTTGATTAATTGAATTTAAGATGTTTGTGAATGTATCTATGACATACATATATTGGTCTGGAGTTTAGTCATTGTGCTTGAGCTTTGTATATGTATCCGGGATCATCAGAATATATATTGTAATCGTAATCAAGGGATAGAAGAGATTGCTCAGGTAGAATATGCAGGAAACCTAAATAGATCTGAATAACACAAACAGGTACAGAATAAACAGAGGAAGAATGTGGGAAGAAGAGGAATAAGGAGGAGGAGGAGGAGGCTGTGGGGAGGAGGAGAAGAAAGAGAAGGGATGTGGGGAAAACTTGCAGAATATAAGTGTCATAGAAATCAAAAGATGACAGTGTTCCAAAAAGTAAGGAGTGGTTTTTACTTCTAAAAGTTAAAGAGAGATTATATGAGATGAGGACTGAAATATGGCATTGTATTTAACAATAAAGAAGACTGCTATGTGTGGTAGAAAAACAAATAAATAAATACAAAGCAGGTATCTTTTAATTTGGGGGGAGTATGTGTACACACCTGTCATATATGAGGAAGTCATCTTTGTTTCCATTTAAAAGAGTCCAGACATCTGTTTGGTGTTCTTCTTGTTGATAAACAGGAATATGCTCTGACACTTTATTCTTAAGATGTATATATTTTAATCGAGAAGAGAGTCCTTGATGATTAACCACTACATAGGAAACACTAGAATATCCTTCTTTCTCCAGTTTTA